TACTACAGATCTGTGCCGTGGTTTGTAGAATAATCCAATCCAGCGAGTGTATGGAAGGAATTTACCTCCTACCCTCAAATGAAAAGAAAAAAAATCATACAATATTATTTTATCAATTACTCGTTATCATTAAATCATCGAATGGATTACAAAGGAATATATACTTGAATCAGTGAAATAATTAGTCCAATTTACAATAATTATTATAATAATGTTTAAGGAATACAGTGTAGTACTGGTTTAAAAAGTGTATCATTTGCGATACCGTTTGCTCCGTCTAATATTGTGTAAAAAAATTCTATCAGAGATTGTTGTATCTCCTTTGACGTTTGACGATGATAATTATATGGCTATATTTCAAAGATAAAAACCTAATCAGTTGTCTTCCATTATGTCACATGGACTAATTCCTTAGATTCTAGTTTGTACGTGCCACGCTAAGCGATTTGTAAGATTTGTAATCGGATTAAAGTTCATAAAATGCTTCTCCATAGAAAGAAAACCATTGAAAGTGCACAGAAACCATATCGATATCTTTTTTTGTGAGAATCAATTGATAAGGCGACGTAAGCGCAACATTTTCATTTTAAGATTTGTGTATGCAGTCTCACCATGGAAGTGCTTGACTCCTCTGTCTCCATAAAGAATCTGTCTTCTGAATGGTCTAACGTTTCATACTCGCACGAGACATGAAAAGACTGTTTCTGTTGGCCTTATGTTGCAAAGTCTACATTCTAAGTCTTCGTTATATAACCCAGTTGAAGACACTGGTCCAAGAAAGGGACAAGTCTATACTGAAAAAAATTGGTTTCTGTAGATATAGGTTTTAAAATGTACTCTTTTCGTCTGGTGCAAACATGGAATCTGTAGGTTTAACAGAAACCGAATTTTGAGATGAAGTCACTTATCTCGTGCTATAGGCTGGTTCTGGTTCACATGTGTTGTTCTTTTGCGCTTGGTATGTGTTCTGGTTTTAGATATTTATCACTATCTGTAAATAATAAGTATGTATCTAATAATTTACATTTTGAATATAACTTTTCCACTTTTTCCAACAGTGTTTTCACATACTCTATCTGTATCTGTCCCCCTGTTCCATCAGACCTAATTGATTCTTACCTAATGAAGCCAGTTCTTCAGTTTCTTTCTTGATGATTTCCTATTAGACGAAAGCCGTCCTGTGTTGGTATCTGGGTAAACAGCTTCTATGTTCTTAGCTGATTACACAGGCAGACAAAATGTGACTGACCTTCTAAACCAGAAACCAGAATTAATTCCGACTAACTGAATAAGAATTCCATCCGAGAATTTCTCTATTGCTTCTAGTTTCAGCGCTATGGACTTGTAGAGTCTACGATATTCGAATTTGTTCCTTGTGGAAATTATCCCAAGGTTTATGATGTGATAGAAGATAATAAATCAATAAATAACTATTCAAAAAACAAGGATATATTATTTAACACTTTCGTTTCGAGTTTTTTCAAACTACCTGCGACTTCGAGTCAATGATTATTATGTAATATGGCAAAAATAAATTAATGCAGAAGTTACTGTACTTAGTACTTAGTTTACCCGAAAATACTCATTACTCATTACTTATCACAGCCATTTGAGGCCATCGTATACGATTAAAATTTAATGTGCCGTATTTTCAGTTCGTGGTAATTAAAAAACTTTAACTTCCTATTTTTGAATTCCTGATAAATTACTGGAATTCCAAGTAGCGCAAAGTAATTATAAGGGGTCTACTTCCAGTGTTCTGACGCTTTCCATTAAAATTACCAACGAGAAAACTCGAGATGGGATAAATATTATGGCATGTCTTAATTTAATTTAAAGCAATTTAGTTTAGTAACTCGTGTTTCACTGCGGCGAATTTTGAGGAATGCCTTTTGTAATTTTTATAACGAAGATGTACCATTAATTATCCACCAAGTAATGTCATATGGTATATCATTCATTAAATTGATAAATAATGAAGAAAGGCAAGGCCTTACTTTTATTTGCAGTTTTGCTTGAAGATGGACTAAGCGCATATAAACTATGTGCAATTTTTTGTTGAAAAAATTAATGTACACCTGATTTTTTTTTTAAGAAAGGCATTTCAAAATGAAAAATACAATACTCTGCCTTTCTCAAATCAATATAAACTTTCTATAATATCTTAATTATCATAGTGAATCCTTAGTTCAAAACTTAATGTCAACAAATATATCCCAGCTTTATTGATAGCTAAACTGGCATGTCCAGCTAAGAGAACATAGCCACAAAACCCATTAGCATATGCGTCCGACTTCGGGCATTAACAAAAAAGAATATGTCGACTTAGGGGGCCCTAATAATGTTAAATATCTTCAAGTTTAGATAATACGTTCTAATTACATTCGCTCTTGAGGGAAACACCGACCTATTACTATAAGATATCGGGTTCCTTGTTGGTGGATCTTCGTGCCCCAATTTCCACAACTAGCTTGATTATATTTACAGGGTAATAACCCAATCTCCTACGCTCGACTCTTAATTCCAACTAAATATGTATTAGGTTGATCTAAAATTAGATGATAATAATGTAATGATTTGGCTTTAACTTAGTTGGTGCCGCAAACCTTTTAAGTTTAGTGGTGTATGGAAAATAGATTATCATTTTCTTTCTTTATAATTAAGTATTGGACAAATATTTCTTTTTATAATGTCTGTAATTACGTAGGAACTTGCGGCATTTTCTGGTATTGCTTTTATTTAATTGGGTATTTCCGTCACAGTGAAAAGATTTTTTTAAATGGCTCTGCACCCAAGAATAAATTTACTTTTGACTAATAAGAGATATATCACACTGAGAACATAGAGAATCATTGCAAAACATATTGCAGTTAAACTTTCTCTAAACTCTCTGTTTTCGCTACCAAAACTCAAACTGCACAGTCAAGTATGACATTTCAAACCATTCTATAAATTTTGATAGTTATTGGTTGAAAACTATCAACAAAGGGATAAATTACGACAGAATAAATATTACACATATGATTAACGTGAGTTTTGATAACGGAAATAGAGAAACTTTTGAAAAGTTAACAATGCTGTGTTGTAGTGATGATTATTGTGTCAAAGTAACCTTAATCTTCAACTGAATAATTTCTATGTTGGTTAAAACAGTATCACTTATTTCAATCGACTTTTTCAGTATCACAACAATAACAACTTCTACTAATGACAGTAGTGTTTGCAATAATATAAACTTTATGGAAATATCTTTTGTATCCAATAAAGTACCTATACTTAGAAATTAGTATAGTAAATTTGAAGTGCATGGTGATTTTTTCTTATAGACGAAGTTGATGGTTCATTGGAATTGTCTATATTAACTGGTATTTCATTTGGTAGCAATTTAATCGTGTCATTTTCTTTAGTACTAGACTATTGCTTTGGGTTTGTCAGTCATCGATATATCCTTCTGCAACTGCAGTACTGTTAGTAAATCACTTCCAGATTTAGCTAGTAGGGTTGCGGAACTACAACGGAAGCAATGCTCTGTGTATGTATTAGGTTCTGGCTATTTTGCTTGCAATTTTGCTAAATACATTTTTTTCGATCTGTTGCACTGTACATTTATTATTTTTGTAATAAATGAACAGACCATTATGAGGAGTGTAGGTAGGTCTAAGGCAAACATATTTGTTGTATGTATATTGTAACTAGATTCATTTCAACTGCTTTGTTTGTGACTATAAAAGTTTTTGTAATATTATTTTTTGTTTGTGGAACTGTAACAATCAATATTTCTCCTCTATTATCTATGTGGTCAGGTTTCATATTCAACAACTCATTTCGATTACAAACTCCGTATAGTCCCATAATAAGAGAAACCTATAATGCATTGATATTAAATTAAAACATAATTAAATCGACTTAGTTTACCTTGATCATAAGATATTCCGAATCATATGCTTCCTTAAAAGATTTAATACAATGTTCTTGATTCAAACTTTTAGAATTTACAGAATTTTGTTTAAAAAATGCTCGAATTTTATGAAAATTATCAAAATTAATATAATTCAGACCATAGTCTTCCTGATCTGAGCAGTAGTACAATTTCTATTAAGTTTTTGGCTTTTTTATTCCTGTTCCAGTTATTGAACATTCATAATACTTTTCCTACCGTTGTCTTGACTTTGTAGGTAACCAATTTAGAGAAATATTGCTAGCTTCCTCTTGCAAGTCCGATGTAGTATTCTTCGTCATTGTCTGAGTTACCATTAATTTTAACTTATTCACAAAATTGCAGTTGTTCGCAACTTATTGTTATTTTACACTTTTGTGGTTTGTTTTAATTCCAAATTTTGGTTTAAATTGACATTTAATGAAAAATTTATCGAAAATAATTCAAAATATTGCCTAATACTTTTTCGTAACTTTAAAAGGATGTATCGGCTGTCATAGTTTGTTTATCACTGAAGTACTTCTGGTATTTGTTCTATCTTCCTATGCCTCAAGTGATTCAGGCATAATACATAACATGACACTGACAGTCACGATTAATATTTAAATATACTGTTATTATAAATGCAGGGACATGCCTGCCATTCAATTTTGGTAACAATTGAAAGTGGAGTCGACTCGATATGAAAATGTTTGCACAACATGCATAATGCATTACAATTGTGCTGAAATATGTACCTATACACCAGATTGCGACCAGGTAATATATTATATGGGTAAACTGTGCATCCAATTTACCTCAGGACCCATTAAATTTAAATTATGCATTGCCATTTGCATTACTAAACGCAGGCATGTCCCCAGTAGCACCGTTTCCCCCTCACACTGAAATTCAATTAAATAATAGACGTAATTGTATTAAATGAAAGTATGTGAGGTCATGTGAACCTTTGTACGGTTTAGTTCTCCTTCACGGCAGGCGATTTCAAAACAATGACACATCCTGAACATCTGATGCCGCTTGTTTATGCTAAATTGCTCAAGACAAGTCGTCGGGTACTTACCCCGATGGTACTGCTGATATTTAGGTCAGCATTGCTTCGTTGGAAAGACACACCCTCACTTATTGACTGGGAACGACGGAAAAAAACAAATTACGAGAAACTAATAAGGTCCGGGGAACACTGCAACACCTTTATGACACATAATTATATTGACATACATTAAAACTACGATTATTCACTGAAGAAACGGCCGCGCCTCTACGATATATATGCTGTAGCTTTGGAGCGTAAACGTAGATGATCCCGGAATAATTTTGAATAATGTTCATTTTCCGGTGTATTCGCTGGTCTTTTTGGTGTTGACGTATGGGCTTAGCAGCGGGAAAAGTTTGAATATCACAATTATAGCACTGGGAACTCAGCAGTTGGCGATCGCGATCTAAAACAGAAATCGTCCTTAGTGATGTACATTTAAAGCTTTCGGTCGTTTTGTACAGTTTAATTTTCTAGGTCTACAGCCCACGATTTACGTTGTCTGAATCCGGGAGCTTCAGGCGGACTAAATTCATTCATTGACTAGAAGTACACGCAGGCGCTATCCCTTGCCGGTGCTCTATGAAACGCGAGCGCGAACATTGCGGGAATAAGGATGGACGTAGGATAATATTGGGGTGTCTTGCAGTGGCGGGGGGAAACATGGGGGTTGAGGGTGCGAGTAGACTTCTATTTAATAAGTGTCAGGTGCAGGGCGGAGTTCCTGATGTGTGTAGCAACACCAGTGCACTTGTAGATTTCTGTCTATGTTTGCTTGACCATAAAAATAAAATTTGGCACGGGAATGACCGCGGTCGAATATATTTTGTGTCGCTTTGTTCGGGGTTGCACACGTAGAGCTATACCGGGTGTCCCAGATTTTATTCATATACACGGTGTTGCTAAAAGTATTTAAATGAAACTTTGACATTACCAATTTTTTCGAATGGAATGGATGGTATTAGAATTAATGACTTGACGGAAAAAAGAATTAAACGTATTCCTTCTGCAATTTACTTTATTTATGTATTAACAGCAGATTCTGAGAATTTGAACGATTTTAGAAGCCTAAATTAAAAAAGATATTTCATTTACTTTTGAATAAAATTTTTCATTTATTTTATAATCGCCTTTTTTCAAAATATTTCAAAAACTAACAAAGTTATTAAAAAATTATAAAATAAGAAATTGTAGGTTTTTTCTTACTGAACAGTTTGCTTTTTTTAAATTTTTGTAGGACAAAATTTGACTGAGTTATGACCTCAAAACTAAGCTCCAAGACTGCCTTTCCTGGACCTTTTTAGCTTACAAATCTAAAAAACGAAGGGCTCAAAAAAACTGCAAATAACAGAACTTAAAGTGCTTTATATTCCCAAAAAAATGGATTTTTGAGTAAATTTATAACTTTAAAATTACAAAAGTTAATCGCATTTTTTTCGGAAAAATTTTCGGAGCGTGTATATTACCATCGTCTTTGTGTATTTTGGAGCACTTGTGAACGGATTTGAGTAAGTATTTTAATAATATACATACACACACATTACAACCAATAAAAATACAAAAAAAACCTGCACCAGATGAACTACTTAGGATGATATTTTGCAATTGCAAAAAAGGATGCGGCGCAATTTGTGGTTGCAGAAAAGTTGGATTTTTTTTCAATCCCACGTGTGGTTCATGTTCTGGCGATAATTGTAACAATTGTCCTCCAATTTTGGACCAAAGCGAGGCTAAAAATAGTGATGATAGTCATGAAAATTAAATATTTTATTATATACGCATGTAAAAAATAACAGACCATTTTTAAAACATTTTGTACAATACATCCATTTATAATGTATATAAAAATTTTCTTATTTGATATTAATTTAATAAAAAAATATTAGGAATAAATTCAATAAAATTTGAAAAAATTAATTATATCATATTCTCATATAATTTTTAGGAAATTTTTACTATAAGGGGTAGGGTTTTTTATGAGGGGTAGGTCTTCCATAAGGGTTTTTTGGATTTTCAGAATTCATAAATAACATAACATAACATAATATAAACAAATATGTTAAAAAAATACTTGTAGTCGTTATGATACTAGAGTCTCAAAAATATTTCTTATCTTCGAATAACCTTACCGATGACTCAAAAAATCTGAATAGTTAGAACCTGCTGGTACGTTGGTACTCAACTAAAATAGCCCATCATGTAAATGAAATAAATTGAAAATATAATAATATAGCTGCAATATTATAAATATATATAGCTGCTTTCAAAACAAAGGTAAATATTATTTTCATCATCTTCTATATAGTAAAATTTACTAGTTGCATGTCTTTGCTTAATTGTCCTTATTAATATACCAATTATTATTTCATTAATAAAAGCATAACTCCATTAAAACTTTTGAAAGATTGAGTGACATTCGTTTATCCTGAAAATTTGGCTACTTATATCTAACTAGGGGCACCATTTCTTCGCCAACAAGTTAGCCTGGTACATTTTGTTAACCGTAAGTTACTGACAAATTCGTATCGTTATATTGAGAACACTTCTTATGCAATTTTTAGTTTATTGGCGTTAATCTATAGGTACGTAATTTGATTTATTCTAATTTGTTAATAATATCTGTTATTTCATTATATTATGTATTCTCTATATATCTAATAATTAGATATGGGTATAAATTATATAACAATTTTTAATTATGTATTTCACTACGGTCTGCAAAAGCAAGTGTGAAACCAGCTTCTTTAATAAATTAATAATTACGACATTTCATTACACAAAAAGCTTCTAATAAACCATTAGCAACCTCAAAAACCAAACAACTTGATGTTTTAAAGAATGTATTATCAAAATTAGGTTTTAAAAAGTCATCTTGAGTACTGTGTATTTCAAAAACAAATGAATTAGGCCACATGAATTATCTGTTTTCAGAAAACCCTATATAATTCTAGGAACAGAAATACATAGATCTTCAGAATATGGTTTAATACCTCAATTTATTATTATCAGCAATATTTTTCTTATCTGTTATTAAGTATACGTATTTGCGATGAGGATCAATCAGACATCAGGTATTAGCAGCCTAATCACGACTTGTCTAATGATGACATTTATTACCGCTCTTGAGAATGCCAGGGATATTTAACGACGAAAGTTCTCTGTGTCAGAGTGATATATTCCTCGTAAATGTACTGTACGTTGTAAGTTTAATAATATATGTATACATTGTTGGAATGAACAAAAGTTCAATGAATCTGTATGCTATTCTGTGCAAAACTATTGAATTTAGTATTCATCTCAATTTTACAGTAAAGTAAAGGCGAAAAAAGACTAAACGGATACTATTCATCAGCGGTATCTTCCAGATTCTGGTTTAAAATATTTAGTTTTGTAAATGTTGCTTACGCCATTCAATACGAAGAAACTATATATTGGTTATTATAGAAACCCTGTTTTTTTTTTGATTTGTGAATTTTGGTCCCTCTATTTTTTTTTTCGTTTATTTATAAAATTATTTTCTCTATTTGTTGACTTTTTTGTATGTTTCTACTTAGTAATGCTACGTTTAAGATAATAATTAAAGTTGAATAAATAAAATGATGTAAACTGTCACTTTGAGCATGGTATATGTAGTCATTTGGCCAATTTAAACATTTAGAAAGTGTATGTAAACTATAAATGCTTTTTTAATTAAATAAAATTGAAAAAGAACAGTTGGTGTTATCTATTCAAGTCTATTCAAAATCCTTGCAGTTTTCACGAGAGTTTTTACTTGTTTCATAAAAATAGGTAATCCAATGGTTAATGATTCTAGAAATTCAAAAATACTAGAATAAAAGAAAATGTGCTTCCTATTCACTTCATTGGTTTCTTATCATCGTTTAAATACAAAACTTTCTATTTCAATTTAGATCATTTTACAGGAAAGGTTGAAAATAGCGTCTTTAAGCAATGTGCATCTCAGTTTTGATTCAAATGAAATTATATCACTGCTTCTGTCGTTATTTGAAGTTGGTTAAGGTTATTTGAAGTTGGTTAAGGTTATTTGTTTATCGAACTTGATTTTCTTGTGTTTTGTGGAGAGAACAGAAAGCTAAGATATTGTTCTGCAGGTGATATTGGTTCTCTTGCATTGCTTGAGAACTATTGGAAATCTGCTTATTTTTGGAAACAGGGAAATTCGGATAAAAATATGCGAATTTCGCCTCAATGAGGTCTAAGCTCAATTCAGTCATGAGGATAAAGCGTTTCCACACAATTTTTTTGATTACAAACAGAATGTTTATTTGTTGTTAATAGGTACTGTAAAAAAAAACGATAACAGCGTTATAAATTTAACCTTCGCAGCTTAAATTCGACATGTTGTATAACGATAAAGGACTCTCCTATTGCGTAATATGTAATGATTCACTTGTAGGACGTGATTTGCATAATAAATATGTACAAAAAAACAATCAGTTACTCTCATTATATTCAATGTATCTACATTATTATGTATGTCAGAAATAATAATTTATTATCATACAAACCTTATGCTATTTGCATGATTTTATATATTCGACAATGACACAATTAAAAATAAAAAATATACCGTAGTTCAAAAACTTTATATTACATTTTTCATATTCGCATAAAGGCAATTTAAATTTTCAGATTTCTAACTGAACATTTTCAATTTTAACAAATTGCAAAACATTCATTAGTTATTAAGTATTACCTACCATCTACATGCTAGACTTTGAACAATTAAACATTGTTGCATCAATTGTTATATATAATGAAATACAATCTAATACATAGTTCTACGGATTTTAATAACAATTATAATACTACCTAACTTATTTATCCGCTTTTTGTACAGGGTGTATTTTACATAGTTTAATGTAGCTTGCGCTACTACTAGTATTACTATGCTATAGTATAAAATAAAACAAGTTATATTTGGTTTTATTGATTAAGATCTAATATCGCAAGCTCTCAGATTGCATGGAAGTGTAGCATTGTGCAAAGAAAAGAGATAAAGACAGTCGAAATTCCTTGCAAAGAAAAAGATGGTCGTACATTCTCCCCTAGCAGATTTTATACCAGGGGGTTTATTGCAGTAGTTTCCTAAGTTTTATTGTGGCACAGAAGGCAGTGCACGTTCGTTTTTAAATAATTTCCTTTCTGCTCCTTGTGTTCAATAGGTACATGATTTTGAATCTACGTCAGTTCATACAATCACATTTTTTCAATCACTATTTTGTTGGGTTACCTTTTTATCGCCTATTTGCATCACCTACACATTTTTATAAATTTTCTAATGACGTTTTCAAAAAATGCTTCATTTTAAAAATATATGATCCGAATTTAACATTTTTTAAAGGAACAACAATTTCATTACAAATTTTATCTCTCTTTCTCGGGATTACAGATACATGAAGGTCGCAAGAGACGTCCTGTAAATACGGCACTTACTTTTAGATTTTTTTTAGAATCTGCCATATACCTATTTTATAGGATTTAGTTATAGTTTAGAATTACCGGAAACTATTTTTATTCGAATGTAGACTAAATTAGACGGCTCCAAATTACTTTCCTATGAATTTTTTTTGGACGAGCACGCAAACCGGTAATAATACGAATAATGATTTCATGATTGTCCACAAAATTGTCGTTTAGAAATGTGGAGATATAACAATTCCAGAACGACGTGCCTTATAAAATTTATTTACATTAACACACGGAATGTCAGACAGATTATTAGAATTGTCTATAATTACTAGGTACTTTGCTTTATCCAACTACTAATTTAGCTTTGTACTCCATCTTAGAAGCTAAAATATAGTTAGGAAATAAAACAACATCGCGAATGACAAATTAAATCAGGAAAACAAATAATTTTCCAATCTTAAACTTCTGTCTACCGATTTGAAGGTATAGGAGGTCATCAAGTACAAGAAAGGCTCTGATAGTAAATCGGTGCTAAATGCTGTGTTAAATTAAGAACGGAACGCATTCGGAAAGAAAAGGATGACGTACACTTGGAACTTTAACAGGATTAGTACTATACTCTCAAAACTATCAGAAAATAGTAATAATAATAATAATAATAATAATAACACTTGTTGAACTGTTTTTATGGCAATTTACATAACTCGTCTTTAATGCAGCAGAAAATTATTGCTGGATTTTATGACCTCGTGAGCTTCATGCACAATAAAAGGAGCACAGTAAACAGTAAACGTATAGTATGCACAGTAATATCCAATTCGAAACAAATCTAGACGCTCTAAATATTCCTTGCGCCCTAAATTAGGTGCTATTAAATTAGTTCTTATCGTAATGATTACCCAAAGTAATTTAAACATAATATGGTTTCCGCCATCTAGGAGTCATGGACTAGTATTAATCCTGGTTACCTAAGCCTAATTGTATTTTTACAGAACTATCCACATTCCTCTCCAATAGCCTGAAGTATTCTGTAATGTGTGCAGCTGGTTTGCAAGGTAGTTAATAGATGGCCGAATCATCTTAGAAACGAAGTATCTGACAGTTGACATTTACATTGTCCGTTGATTTTCCGTTAAATTCTTCCGTTTGGATTGGCTGGTGTTGACATTTAAATCTACTTTAAAATTACTAACAGAAGAATTTTAACAGTACCAGTGAGTGGCGTGTTTTTCGCAGTTTTTATTTTATAAATTAATGACACATGCATTGAATAGATATAAAAAAATTTTTAATTGAAAAGGTGTTCAATTAGTGAAAAATGGCAGCAACGACTCCGTTTAAAACACCTCTGCCATACAGTACTCCAAAAAGTAGTTGTAAGGGAATGTCTGACAAATCTGACAGTGATGAAAGCACAAGTGCTTCTGATACGGGCTCAGCATATTCGGGGTCTTCAGGCGATTTAACCATTGTGGCATTATTCGATGATCTGATAAGATTGATGAAACAGAAGAGGGACGAAAAGGTGGAGGAGGCATTTCGTACATTTGCTGAAAACATGAAAGTTTTATTTATACAATGGCAAACCACTGTAGCTGAATGCCAAAGGCTACAGAATGCTCTCGATATTAGAACGCAAGAATTTAGCGAAATGGAAAGGCATCTCAACGTAGCAAGGCGATTATTAGACGAAGAAAAGAAGAGAACAAAGCAGGCTAAACAAGAACGTGATGAATTTGTAAGTACACAAAAAAGCATTTGTTTCTTATCGTTAAACTAAAATTTATTATTTATGTACAACACAGGAACAGCAAATAGGTACAGTGCGAAAGTTACTGTTCAAAGACAACCGAACAAAATTAGCAGATGAGACGAGGGAACAATTTGCATTTTTGAATAAAGGTCGTCATAGTTCAGGGGAACCTGTTGCTACTAATGTTAATAATCAACTCAGTGCAATTCCGGAGGTTAATTCTACAGGTAAGTGGCTTTTGAATGAACGATATTAAAAATGTATTACCAATAATTGTTTTGCAGGTTCCATTATGTCAGATTTCAGTTTTTCGCGATCTGAAGATGATCTGGATAGCTCTAAGTGCTTCCAAGCTGGTAGAGAATGGAGAAAGCACAGAGCAAGCACAGAAGCTCCTCCTCCAGAACCTGCAGCAAAGAAAAGACGTTCGTCTGGAAACAAAGTTGTCGAGGTGTGTATTTTACTCATTTGAATAAGTAGGTTGTTTAAAAAAAGTATTTTTTTATATTTTTCTGACATAACTGTTATTAAGTTTATTTATAGTGTTGTTTTGATTTCTTAAAAATGTAATGTTAAGTATTTTATTTATAAACAAATTCCATATTAGTGCAAAATCTGAGAAATAATTACGTATACTTTAAACTAAATTGGAATAGTCGTAAATTTTTTATTGCAATTGATGATAGGATGTAAACACAAATGTACAAATTCATTAATTCACACAGATTGGCGCAACAGATACAGTTAGGGCTACAACAACTTTAACAGTAACCAAGGAAGGGCCGATAAAAGCAACTTCTATTATCGAGTCTTTGCCGCAGAAACCTTGTTTGTTTCCCGATCCTCCAATTATAACTGTAAGTTATGCTTTTTCGCTTTAAATTTAATATAACATATTTCGTTAATCATGCGTAAAAGATAAATATCTAGTAATTATAAATTATTTATAGCCTAATCATGTCGTTATCTTGGCTTTTGTAATTATAACAGGCCGAATTAAATAACAAACGTAAAATACTCATTTATTGTTAACTGCGGCCTTAACATTTATTAATTCATCCCAATCGAAATTTTTTTTGTGTTAGGAACCTGTATCGCAGCCGGGCTACCCACCTGTTAATTTAATTTTCGATTCCTGGAATCGAGAAGGATCGCAGAGGCCCGAAAGTAACACCAACCTGAGACAGCACTGCTTCCAGCAGAAGACTGTCGTCATGCCCGGTTCTTGCACGTCTTGTGAGAAACGTATACGTTTCGGGAGGTCGGCTCTCAAATGCAGGGATTGCAGGGCAATGTGTCATTTGGAATGCAAGGATTTCTTGCCTTTGCCCTGCGTTCCAGCCGCAAATACGCCCGGCCAAAGGAATTTATTGGTGAGTAATTGATTTGGCATTTGTTAATGGTGATTTTTTTAATGACATCAAAATAATCATATTTTTAACGCAACTAACCACTATTTAACTATCAAAGCTCTCGATTCGATTTGTGTTCGAATTCCAGAATCTCAAGTTTAGGGCCTGTTTTTTTGCAAGTATTTTTCAACTTTTTACTTTTGTAACTCGACGCTTTCACTTAAGATTCTCCCTGTAGTGGCTAAAGATACTCCTGTAACAGCTACAACATCGTTTTTAATTGTATTTTATTTACGAAAAAATGAAGCCTACTCCACCTGATTCTTCTTTCATTTCAGTAGTAGAATACCCTTAAAAAGTCCTGAAAATTTCAATTTGATACTCCAAATGGTTAAAATTATAACTGAAAAAGTAAAAGTAAAACACCTTCTTGTACCTGTCTGTTAATTGTGAAAAAAATATTCGAGATCTCTTGGTCGGCTACCCCTATTTTAACTTTCTATTTCACAAATTTTGTTCAACACTATTTCATCACAACTTTTCTCTATATGGACTAAGAAGTCATCCCTTAAGGAACGGTATGCTTCATACCCAAAATGTGACCACTTTAATTTTCACTAGCTGTCACTGCTATCTTGCGAAAATGATCTCTTGGAGTATTTTACTGTAAACAAATCATAACCTGGTTGCCACCAGTCACAGACTTAGCTAGGAATTTTTGATCTGCAATTGTTGTTCACGGACTATGTTCCGTGGGGGTGGACCCACTATCAATGCTTCCAAACGTTTCACCGCTCTTTACTGTTGGCGTTTTCAGTAGGGACTGTGGAAGCTTCACCACAACGGATGCCGTTTACTACCTCGTCACTGCTCTTATAGCGTCGGTGTCAGTATCTGTGTGCAGGCCTATAGTAGAATCATATTTAATGCAAAGTTGTCGGTCTTTTATCAAAGGAAAATCGTATCATCATTTTTCAGATGAAATTGAATGTAAAACCTGAAATACCGCTGCATACCCTGTGTTCTGGTAGTAGCTGTAGTCAACCAGGTGCATCGAGTGTATGAAGTAATCGGTTATATGTCAAATATTAACCTGGCTAGCTTGGTCGTAAAAAAAATGTAGTACGTATGTGGAATTTAAAAAACAAATTGGATTTATAATAAATTACATTTAAAATAAATAGTTTATGAGAATAAAGGAATTTTTGTAGGAACAAGGGTGTCAGACGTAAACTGATCCCTTCATCCCTTCATAATGTATAAATTATTCAATTTCTAAAACCCTTAAAAGCGTATTGCACTGGATCCCTTGACAGGCAATAATTTATTACTTTGCATCAAATATGATCCTAGAAATGTGTGCATTTTTTTTCTAAAAGTGTTTCTGACTAAATTCTGATCCATTTTAGTGCAGGATCAAGCTACTATCAAATTTATCTGCCTCCTTTTATTTAATTATGATCAGATATTTTCTCCCTTATTTTAACTCGGTATTTGGAAGCATAATCGCAGTACGAGTTCCAATTTTAGACCTCTTTATTTCTTTTTGTAATTTTTAGCCAGGTAATCGAAAAATTGACCTTCTTTCTGATAAGTGGGTTTAATACGGGCTTCCAATTTATTTCAATATAATTTTTAGAATAATCGTACTTTGTTTTGGAAACTGTAGTTATTTAAAAATGTAAATTGATGAAGCTCATTTTTAATTAATTTTAGAACATTTTTATGCCAAAATTTGACATACACCTTGAGTTAACTTGCGGACAGAATTGTGGTCTATTTCGGCGATTCAGATACTCTTTTTGCCACTAAAACTAGTAACTGCATCTCCTGCTTTCGATCGTTTTAGGCTACTTTTAAGGGCATTTTTAGCAGATTTCCTATCATCCAGGCGAAAATCCGAGATATACAAATTGGAGATTTTGTCGTCTACTTTCAGATGCTGTTTTCAGAATTTAAATTGGACCATTTTTGATAAATCGCCACGCTGTGCAAAAAATACCCTAATTTGTTTATAATGCAATTGTGCAAAAACTATGCATCGGACAGAAACCATCTTGCAATTAAACTACATATTATTATCAGTCATTTTCCGCAAGATTGTTTTTCCAGTTTCAAAGAGTGACCACAAAACACCTGAAATTTTCGCCCGTTTTTTCACAATTCGCAGAGAATTTAAAAAAATACATCAAAATATGTTTTTGGTCGCAGATTACTTTTCGTAAAAAACTGAAATGAGCATAGCTTTTAGTATTTGAAAATTTAAAAAATCACCCCTACCTAGGGATTGAAAAAATCCCAAAAAATGAAGAATTTGAATATTACCAATTGATATAAAAACTATTAGCATATGAATTATCTTAATATATTTTTTTTGGAATTTTTACAATTATTACTGATATTCTCTATTTTTGGGGATGATTCCATCCCCTGAGCGTGCTTAGGGGTGGATTTTATAATTCAACATGCTTATTTCAGTCATAAGAATAAATCCATCTTTGGGTCAAGAATCATTCTATAGAAAAATTCACATGCTGCAATAGTTTTTATATTTATTGATAATATTCAATTTTTCATTTTGGGCGCCTTTTCATCCCTTAAATAGGGGTGATTTTTGAAAATTTTCAAAAAACTAAAAGCTATGCTCATCTTAATTTTCTACGACGAGTAATTTGAGACCAAAGACATATTTTCATCAATTTTCTTTAGTTCTCTGCAAATTGTGAAAAATCGGGCGATTTTTGCGGTCACTCTTTGACGGAGTTATGAATTTTTGAAAAAAGGTTTATTAGAGGTTTTTCTGGATTTTCTTTGTAAAAAATTAATAGATCGGGTCGCACAAAAAACCATTTTATAAGTTTTTTTCTTCTCTACAAAAGTCTTATTGAGAATAAGACGATTCCAACATTTTTCGAGATATTATAAAAAAAACAAAATATTTCACTTTTTTGTAGTTTTTATTGTTTAAAACAAATTGTTCACTTTGCTGGGGAAATCGCTTGGATTTTCAATTACTAAATATTTTTCAAAAGGAAATATGTACATGAAATTTGCTGTAATATTTAAGTGTAAAAACAGCCTCTTTTTTCGCGATGTTGGTTGGCCTATAACTGGACCTGGTTTCTAGGGAATTATCAGCGACTACACCCCAACCATACCCCCAATGGTTCCAGCCCTAATCGTGCATTGCTTGAAGGAAATAGAACAACGCGGGCTAAATGAAATTGGATTATACCGAATACCTGGTTCGGAGAAAGACGTGAAAAGTTTGAAGGTAACTTTTCCTCAGTACCCCTGCACTTGTTCTCGCTTAACACAGTGTTCGTTTTTAGGAGAGGTTCATCTGTGGAAGGGGTTCGCCCAATCTCAAGGAAATCGATATCCACGTGATCTGCGGCTGTGTTAAGATCTTCCTGCGTTCTCTTACCGATCCGCTTATAACCTACAAGTTGTGGAACGACTTTGTGCAAGCCGTCGAAGCTAAAGATGAGCGGGACATCGTGCCTACTCTGTATCAGGTTATTTCTGAGTTACCGCAACCGAATAGGGACACGTTAGCGTACATGATTCTCCATTTACAGAAGTAAGTGTTAAAAAAAGTTCATCGAGTGGTTTAATTGAAATTTTTATAATTTTCTTTCAGAATCGCGGAATCTCCAGAGTGTAAGATGCCAATTGAGAATCTCTCTAAAGTGTTTGGTCCTACGATTGTCGGGTACTCTTCGGAAGATCCCAATCCGAATAATTTGATTACGGAAACGAGGCAGCAAGGCATGGTAAAAAATCACTATTTTCAATGTTAACGCGTTTACAATTTCAATTAAGATTACTTTCTTTTCCGAATTTCTTACAACGAATTCCGAATGTTTTAGGTAATGGAACGTTTACTGAAATTGCCGTCGGAGTATTGGTCTTCGTTTATTAATGTTAGTACTCCTCAACGCACGGGGAAACTACAGCAAACTCCGAGTACGGATTCGTTATTAAGGCCAACAAGTCGCATTTTCACTCCTAGAGGGTAAGTGATACATTTCAAATACTTCTTGTGGTTTCAAACAATGATACCATAGACTTATTTTGCGTTTGCGATTTTCAAATTGAAGCAGTATTTTTTAAAATTTTATATTACATATTTTATTAGAGAATTATTATATTTATTACTCAAAGTGAATGAAAATTAATTAAACGGCAAGATTTTTGCTTCGCCTTGTTACGAATAATTTGCCGACGCGATATATGACGTGTCATTTTTATTTTGAAGTTATGGATGAAAAGCTGAGGGTTTAGATTTTCTTTATTATTTCTTTTTTTTTATCGAAATGGAAAAGTTGACTGGGTGCCATGTTGGTTTTTGCATTTTTGAATTTGGTGCATCTTTCTGATTCTGATGATGTGTCGTACGATAAGGTGTACTTTTTTGTTTTTGTGAAATATCAAATTATTGGTTTTTACAAAGAGTGCCTTGAGAACAAAAAAACCCAACTATTACTTTGAACAAAATTTTGACAGTTCAATTCATGTCAAAATTCAGATGATTAAAAATGTAATTCTCACGCGAAACAGCCAGATTGTCCAAATTAATTAATCGATACATTTGAGGCACTTCTAGGTAAACTTCGGTAAACTGTAGTGTCAAAACACTGATAATAAAAGTTTAACTGAACTGTCAAAATTTCATTGGAAGCTTTAGTCGGATGTTTTGTTTTCAAAGCACTGTTTGTAAAAGTGATATTTTGGTCAAACCAAAGAAGCAAACCAGCAGCAGATCCAACATGACACACATAATGCTGTGGTAATAAAAAAGTTTTAATCTTTTTTTAAATTTGAAAATTAAAAAATTGAGACGGGTGACATTTATGTAGAATACCTAGTCAAGGATTTTAATGAACAACTGAGAGTGCTGACCTGAGAGTTTCATTTGTCTGGTTACAGCACGATTTAGCAATGAATGTTTAAAGTCGGGCTGCGTCCATTTTGTATTTATTTTGCAAACTTGTTATTTCCTGTAAGAAATCAACATCTTTATGCTGATCCCATTTTGTTGTTTTAGGATCAATAACAATCCAATAAAAAGGAAGCAAAGGTTTTTCGCCACACCTCCATCTTTCAAATAATCTACATTTTTTAAATATACTTTATTATAGTTTTATTAACATTAATTGCCCTAGTTAAAAACTGGTCATTAAATGGTGTACGGCTTTCTCTCTTTTAATGTATAATTGTACACAGTTTCGATATTAGATTATACACAATATTATACGTGTATGTGTTGTGCATTATACACTATTTCTTAAGGTTATATTTAATGGCTTGTACTTAATATAACACTTGTATTTAGGACCAAGTTTTATTGCTGCAGACATTTTTTAATAAATACTTTTCTTATTTAAGATTTAGTTATTTCCCCAAATTATAAAAAAATAATCCCAATTTTTGCTGCAATACCTTCAGTACAACTCACATAATAAAATTGTAGATCCCTAGATCTGGGCAAACTCCGGAACATTTTCAAAATTGCAAAAATAAAAAATGTTTAAAAATTTTTTAAAAATACCTATTTTATCCGAGTTTTTTACTTATGTCTTGGAACCTATGTATTTTGGAAGAATATTGAAGAGGAAAAAAAGTTTTAGAATTGAATTTTACACAATAGACTGCAAGTTAAAAATGTTTAAATTTATTACCGATGTTGCAAAATAGCAATAATTGATGAACAAAAGGCAAAATAATCTAGTTTTTTAGACAATTTTTTTAAAATATTCTAATTGCTCCGAGGGCGTTCTAATTAATTGGTAAAAAAAACTTTAGAGTATAATAAAACAACACACCAAATTTCATTAAAATCGGTTCGATGGTTTTCGCAAAATAATTTTTTCAAAATTTTTTTTCCGAATTCTCAAAACGTTACACAGCCTCAAATAGAGCATCTAGATCCTTGAAAATTTTTTCACATAGAAAAGACCGTTCAACCTTTCAAATGGTTTTTGAAAAATTGAAATCAGTTGATTAAGACGGCCACAGTAAATTTTTAAAGTTTTTTTTTATTTTTAAACAATTAGATTATATTTATCAATTTGCAATTTAGTTTTTTTCAAAAATTATAATTTTAAAGTCCTTTTTTTTCTTAATATTATCTGTATTTAACAAAAAAAAATAATTTCCAAATAAAATATTTTTTTTAATTTGTTTAAACAAAAATTATTTAAATAATTGTAATAATTATAACGAAATATATTCATATTCAGAGTGTTGAAATAATATACGTAAACAAAAAAAAACAAAAACAAACTCCCTTGGCTCGCGAGCGTCGGATTAAAAAATAGATCGAAATTGGTCCATTAGAAGCTGAGATAATGCAATTTTTTTCGTACCTTCTCATTTTGAATCTCCGAATTCAGTCTCGGAGTGAAAGCCCCCTCCCCCACTTTTCGTGTTTTGAGTCACTTTTCGCGCGTGCGAGAGATAGCTTTTCCGCTGATTTATCTATGTTGCCGATAACTTATGGATATGAAAATTTTTCCCAGCTTAGAACTCGGAAAAACGAAGTCACTGGATCAAAGATTATTGCTAAATTGTTTATAAATTAACGTTAAATGCCGATAATCTTTGACCGCTCATAATATCTCGACAACCAATAAACGGAATTTAACTTTTCTTTTAAAGAAGCGTCTTTCCGAGTACTTTAAAATTATAATTTTTGGAAAAAGCTAAATTGCAAATTAATAAATGTAATGTAATTGTTTAAAAATAAAAAAAAGAGTGTTAACTTTAAAAATTGACTGTGTTCGTCCTAATCAACCGATTTCAATTTATCAAAAACCATTTGAAAGATTGAACGGTCTATTCTCTGTGAAAAAATTTTCAAGGATCTAGATGCTTTATTTGAGGCTGTGCAACATTTTGAAAATTCGAAAAAATTTTTTCAAAAAATTATTTTGCGGAAACTATTGAACCGATTTTAATGAAATTTGGTGTGTTGTTTTATTATACTCAAAAGTCCATCACATACATGTTCTATGGATATCAATTTTTAAGTTTCATGGATTTGTTTTGAATATTCATCGTATATTCACAGACTCAAACAAATATCTCTCTTCCCGTTAAATATACTTGAACTTTGATCCACACCCATAAGACAGTGGTGTAATTATTATGCTTCAGTTTGGGGCCTCATGTCTTTGGAGCCCCTTTAGTGATACCTTCGGGTGAGCAGAACCTGGTTACATCCTCTAAAAAACAAACAGCAACATACATTATACACTACTGCGCAGGTCTAAGAGTATACGCAACGGCACCGTCGATACCGCAGACGAACGTAAGACCACACCCACTATCTTCCCCCACTACGTGGGAGGGGGGTGGTCCACAGCGAGTAATACCGAAACCACGCCCTCTACCCCACTCCAGAAGAGTAAAGGCGCGCGGCGGTACTGGTACTACTGGACGGTCAGATGTATATCTTTGTTTTTTCATCTGTTACATTTAGAAAAGGACAAAATTCATCCAAAGCATCTACATTTTAATGCCGAACATGCCTTGAATTAATTGTAATATTAACAATTGTTTCACGTATTCACGATTTTGGAGTTGTAAAGGTTACAAAAATTAACATTATTATTTTTTCGGGGTAATTAATTCTCAAATTTTATGAGGAAATCGAATTTTGCGCACCTTTGCTGATCTCTAATTTTGTAGGTGTGTTTCAACTTCGTTATTTAATTTTCGGATCAATGTCGAACTTCCGAGTTCAAAGTCGAATTTTTATTATTATTATTTTTTTAAATTAATTAGAATAGTCCTACGCGTTTATATTATTTTTTCCTTACGTGGCACAGCAACCGCTTATCGAGGATAACCAAGAGCAAGATTTTTATTTTGGCGATTTTTTCCAAATGTTAAAAAGATAGAGCAAAACTGATGAAGGTATTATCGTTGTCAGCGGATCCAAATACGTGCAGATGAATGCTTTTATCTTACTTTTGGGCACTTTCATATTTTGATCAATTTTCCTTGAAAATTATCATGAAATCTGAGTTTAAGGTTTATTTTCGAGACATAAATAGTATGTTATATGTACTATGAGTGAATTTTTCATTTTTGCGACAATAGTGAGGTAAGTAAACTACTATATCTGACGTCACAAGTTTAGATCCAACATCAACATTTCGCATTATAACAATACTCTGTCTGTATGTCGGTATGTGGATAACATAATCTCTTTGATTTTTGTACTTCCATTGTCAGGTCAGAATCAGGAGCTAAACTGGCCAATTTTCGCATTAATGCATGTGCAAATTGTTTTTTTAATAAACAACAACCAAAGCATAAAAACTAAGGTTAGAAATTCTCAGTGAATATCTACATCCTCACAATCGATTCTAGTCACAGTTGAGGCATTGGATCTTTACGTTTATGTCATCAACATGCGTCGGTGTCGGTATAAAACACAAACTTTCAATTACACAGGTCAACATTTAGTTTGAAAAGAAATATCGAGAGTCGATTCAACTCTATCACGTCAGTTCCAAGGTTATTTGAAGGTCAAACTGAGAAAAGGTGATTAAAAAAATCTGAAAACATTCATACATAGGCTTTTTGGGTCGCTTATTCTGAATCCGATGTTGGTTGACCTCTATCACCTCATATTCAAGGTCGTTTAAAGGTTAAAGTAAGAATAGGAGGTGAAAAAAATTGGAAAAATTGTTTACGAATGCTCATCTGCCTACTTTTGTCTGTTTATCTGCCTGCCTTTTTACCTGCACACTGCTCTGTTTGCTTGTTAGTTTGTATTTATCATCCGCCTGTATTTTTTCTCTGTCCATCTACCTGACATCCTGCTTTTCGAAATGCCTTTCTGTCGATAATTTTGTCTATCTTCCTGTCTGACTAAATTACTAAATGTTTCTGCCTGTCTGTTTTTCTGCCACCCTCTATTTTCGAAATGAATTCATGATTACTATTACTGATTTGAACTCGTTTTTTAATCTTGGTTCATAGCTATGCTTGATGACGTGAACGTAAAGATCCAACAGTTCAACTGTAGAAAAGCATAGATATAAGATAAAATGAGATAGAAATAGTAACTCCCAGTCATTCATATTCAGCAACTTTCAGTCGCGAATGAAGCCGTTTGTCTAAGAAAACGATGAGAATTTTACGTCAATATATTCTTTGACCAAAGAGGTTGGATGGTTGGCGCGAGAAGTGAGAAGTTCCTATCATACTTTTCCCAAATTTATGGCCTTGACAAATATTGACTGCTGAATCGACGAACATCGTAAATATCTTATGTGCGGGTAGAGAAAAGTTCTGAAAAATTAAGTTTTATGGTATTCTTCATGCTAATTCATTCATAAACACGCGAGTTTCCATAATGGTAGTTGGCATTATTTATTGGGAATGCATTTTCCCACATGTAGTGTAAACAGTTAACACATTGTAACTAGGCACGATATAAGTAACTCATCACTTGCATGCAGGAATCCCGAGTCACATAATCATTAACACTACTTACCAATTATAATAAATCAGATACACCTAGTTACGGCTTCAGAAAATGAGTTGGCCATATATCTTCAATAATCTGTTGATTGATAATTATGGAATTAATTTTAATTGCAGATGAAATTATATGTTTAATTTTAGTAATTAGTAACGATTGTGGTTGTTACTAGTTATACTGGAATACGCAGCCAAAGGATGATTTTTTACGGTCCCAGCAACCCTTTTACTTTTTTTTTATTAATAACAGAACTTTGAAGTGGAATTTTTCAGCATCTGTTTGTATTAATTTGAAATATAATACGACATTGAGTATATAAAGAAAAGGACTTATAAATGATATTTTATATCATCCCTGTTACAGTTTACCATTTTTTTAATGAGTTGTTTTATCGCCAAGGTTATTAATGTAAATGAGATTACAGTTTATCTCTGTGAGAGATGAGTATTTTATGAACAAATCGAAATGGAATCTTTTCCCTGGACTCCGCGTATTTATTTTGTACTTTTATGTCTTCATTTTGTTCAAAAATTAGATAAGTTCGAACGCTTTGAGCAACATCTCATTACTTTTTAAAGAAAATCTCTAGTACGTGTCGATTTAAAAATAATTCAAGAATTATTTTCCGTTTCTACACTTAGGTACTATCATTTTTTCAAATAAAGTTAATAATATCTTTTGGTAAACAGAGAAGATTCTCACATTTCATATTAGAAAAGTCTAATTTCTTTCACAACATTGCATTGAACAGAAAGAATATGAAATGTGAACTGTTAATTCATTATGAATTTAGATATTCGAAATTCAATAACATGGTTATCTTATATTTTGATATTTTCTGATTCATATTCAAAATATTTCACATTCCTTAGTATGTGAGATGAGTATTAGGGTATCTCAGAGGCTCAATAATAAACCAACCTGGAAAATTTGCCCAACCCCCACATGGGGTAGGGATCGGCCTAACATTGTTTAGACAAGGAACCAACGGTTTTACTTCCATTCCAAGGGATAGCATCTGTTTCTATTTAAACAATAGGCCATTATAAGGTGGACGAGCATCGCGAGCATTCCACGAATTGTCACCCATCCAAGTCCTAACCTCGAACAGCTTTGCTTGACTTTTCATATCAATGACATGAAGTCGCAAAAGGATGTTATATGGATGTTTATTTATACTTTTGAGGTAACAGAACAAAATGATGACATTTCGTGGATACACGTAATGAGGATGTCCATCAAATTTACAGAAATGGATGTATTATGGACTTACTCATGTCGGATATCTATTTGGATAGCCAAAGAGGATGTTTAATGGATATTTAATTCATGCATATACAGATGTACATCTTATAGACGTCCTCAACTGGAGGACTGGATTTGTAACATCCATTAAAACTAGAGAAAATGATTACTTGGGGGTTTATTCAAGAGGGATGTCCATCTATATATCAAAGCAGAATGTCCTACGATATCCAAACAAGGGAAGTGTTGGTTGTTTCAGTTTATTGATCTACGATGAATATCCAAAATAGATCCATGGCAGAGTTAGTAGCGGCCTGGGAAACCGAGAATACCGGGAAAAGTCAGGAAATTCCTTAGCTCATTTCCTTTATTCATGATTTCAGAATCATAACGCGTTACGATCCGAAATCTAGCAACCTGATTGGTTTCCGTAGGATCGTAACGCGTTATGATTCTGAAATCATGAATAAAAGAAAAGGGCTCTTATAGACAAGGGCGGATCTGTTTTGAGGTGGATGTGAGAGGGGGCAAGCAAATTTTTTCTGGATTACCTTCAGTACAACTCGCATAATAAAAGTGTAGATCTCTAGATCTGGGCGAGGTCCGCATTTTGGAAGAATATTGAAGAGGAAAAAAAGTTTTATAATTGAATTTTGCGTAATATACTGCAAGTTAAAAATGTCAAATTATTACCGATGTTGCAAAATAACAATAATTGATGAAAAAGAGGCAAAATAATCAAGTTTTATGGATATTTTTTTAAAAATATTTTAATTGCTCCGAGGGTATTCTAATTTTGGTAAAAAAACTATACAGTATGATAAAACAACATACCAAATTTCATTAAAATCAGTTCGATAATTTTGAAAAAAAATTTCGAATTTTCAAAATGTTGCACAGCCTCAAATAAAGCATATAGACAGTTGAAAATTTTTTCACATAGAAAAGACCGCTCAACCTCTCAAATGATTTTTGAAAAATTGAAATCAGTTGATTAGGAGGGCCACAGTAAATTTTTAAAGTTAACATTTTTATTTTTAAACAATTATATTACATTTATCAATTTGCAATTTAGTTTTTTTCTGGGTTCTTAAATCTATTTGGGGTTTTGAAATCTTTATAAGAGGTTTTTTGGGTTCAAAAAAAAGGTTCAGTCTAGAAAAAGTTTAATGCATAAACACCAATTAGGTAGTATGTAAAAATGAACTAAAGTGACTTGGATTTTTTTTATATCAGAGAAAACCTTGAAAAGTCAGAAAATTGAACTTTTGAACTATGAACCCAAAAATGGTAAAAAACGGTTAGCCATAAAACATCATCCCAGAGTTACCTCGATTTACTTCTATTCAGGTTTGATTCTTTTAATGAAACAAGTTTAGTAAAAATGCTTATATTTTTCTCTTAAAAGTACAGTAAGTTATAAAATATGTACAAGTTTATAATTATGATAATATGGTAAAAAAATCTATTCAGTCATTCGTTGTAGACATGTTACAAAAAATGGCCAATCAATCATAATTAACAATACAAAATACATTTAATATATACCTGTAAAAAATAAGGCGCGGTGATATATGCATTTTTTTTATTTAGATTTAATATCCGTTACAAATATTAAAAAATACATACTATGTTTTTGCTATTTATACGGCTTTAATGTCAAAACTGTCAATAAAGGATGTCCTTTATAGACACCTATAACTACTTTAACTATAAGACATACATAAGACAACGTACCTACTTAAAAAGAATGTTTTATAAATATCTATTTTATATGGCTTCACATTACACTAAACTAACTGGTATAAATAGAATATTACAGTCTAGCAATGAGATTGAAATTGTAATTCTATTTATTGGTAAAATACGTTTTTGCTTGCAGATCTTCGGATTTAGATTGACACCTAATTTGTATTTGAAAAGATATAGATATTCTCTATACATATAATTTTCTTCTACAATTGACTTGGACGAAAACGTATTTTTTTACTAACAAAGGTAAACTGGAAAATCTGCTCCTGCTAAATAATCTGTGAAAGTAAGAAATAGACTTTCCTATAAGAATTGCTATAGTTGTGAAAATTGTCTGTCTGTCGGTTTTTTGGGCTTACAAACACTATTTTTAGAACAACTGATATAAATCATTCAAATTTTTAAGAAAAAAGTCTCCGCTATTTTGTCGTGCTAAATATTTACAAGGATAACTAAAAGGACAGAACACAAAATGATGTTCAACTCGTTTTCTCTCATCTTTTTAATACCAATGATAGTTTAAATTTAAAAAAGTCTTTTGTCCTTATTATTTCCTTCATTTTTGAATGTAGGCAAGTAAAATACATCAGCGTGTGTTATTAAGTTCATCACGTTTTTTCCAAAAAAATACAATGAAAGGATGTATAAAACAAAGAATTACAACAATTTTAAATAGGTATAGCGTATGAATAAACGAACTAAGTGCACAACTCCTAATTTAACACATCCAATCATGCAAAGCTGTAACGTATGAAAGCAATAGTTTAAGTAAAGCATGCAGTTTTTTGAAGTATAAATAAATGAAAGGACCATACGAGCTCGGGTGTCGTATTGTACGTATTTTCTTATTTTTCACTTGTAACTGTCTCTATTGTTTATAAATCATTGAGATATATTGTAACGACATTATAACAATCTGCATATTTCCTCATACGCATCTAGGGTAGGCCTCATATGCACAAATCTTCCGCTGCAAACGCAGTTTCTAATGAAACCTGCGATCGTATGCTGCTAAATTAAAAATCTGTCATATCTACATAATAAATTATTAGTCTCGAGCGTTGTATTATGCGTTTTGCACCTCTCATTCTTATTCAGTACATCATTCCCGGATGCACTCCATTTCCTCTTTGGAAGTATACGTTGGGATTGCTGCTTAGCGTAGGCTCCAAAGTCGTGTAGACATTTCCGTCTTCTGGCCGGAGAAAGACACCACCTGTAAAAGGAGAAAATCGAGTTGAATAGGTATCTACCAGTATGCCATTTTTAAATCTATTCTTGTTTCTTGTATCTTTAACTTCAATTTTGCTTTTTGTTAAAAAGCAACATAAATTTTTAATTAAAACAATCTTTCTCATTGAATCTAGATAGCTGCAAAGGTCTTGTGGGAAATAATAGTCGAGAGTCTGTTCTAGGAACGAGTAGACAGTATACAGATGAGGACAATGTCTGTATAAAAAATCTATTAATGACTTTGATTCTATGATATAGATATTGCAATCCTATTACCTTCCACCCGATAGGTTCCAAATTGGAAAAGTAAATTTAGACGTTTTTTTATTACAAAACATAGTTTTTTCTAGTACCTACTACTCGTGTTTATCTTAAATGCCAATTCATTCTAGTAAATAACCTCAAAGCGTTTGATAGTCTGGGTTTGACCATCGACTTCTTTCTTAAACTCTAGTCGTCTATTTTTTTTGTGTGGATTATATTACAAATGACTGTTTAAAGAAGAACTAATTACGGGTTCATCTTATTAATTATTTAGTGACTATCAATGCTAGTATAAAAATTAGTTTAAAAAAAACAAATTAATGCAATATCAATAGATACTGCAGTTCTAATTGAGAAAAAATAACATTATTGTCATCGCAACTTCTTTTTTCTTTACCTTTTTATGACAAACTGGATATCAAATCATTTACAACACGACACTTGCCGCTAAAGAGATCAAGAGTCCGAATTCATTAAATTAATTAGCAAAGTAGGTATTCCCAAGAAAAAAATATGGTAATTTACTATTGGCGGACATATATAAAAACATAAATAAAATTAATATGTATTTGTTTCTATAAATTAATTATATAAAATTACTATTTATCAAAGAACTGGATATATAATGTTACCTAAATGAGGCAGGTAGACAAATTAATATAAATCCATAAATGTTATTTTTTTAATAAAAGATTATAATGCAGATTACGTTAATATGCATGGAATATAAATATGTTGGCATTCACTTCGCCTATTTTGGCAAAAATAATGTGTTCACATTTTACTAAAACGGCTATTTTACTAAATAAGTTTAATTTTTTGACTAATTGCAAAGTATAAATCATTTGACAGTTTTATTTCGAAGGTGTAATATTGAAATATACAGCAACTGCAAAACTAAATACGTTTTTGATATCGAGGTATTTCTGTCTTTTTATAAAAATAGTTTGTGGCTTCTGCAATATCTACCCAAAATTCCATTGTATTGCCAAAATATTCTCTCCTATTAGACCAGGGCGGATCTGTCGAAATATCTCACTTAGATGTCACAGGGGGTAAGCTAATTTTTGCTGGAATACCTTCAAAACAACTCACATAATAAAAGTGTACGTCCCTGGATCTGGGCGTGGTCCGGAACATTTTCAAAATTGCAAAAATGTTTAATAAATTTAAAAAAATACCTATTGTATTTGAGTTTTTTTACTTATATCTTGGTACCTATGCATTTTGGAAGAATATTGAAGAGGAAAAAAGTTTTATAATTGAATTTTGCACAATATACTGTAAGTTAAAAATGTTGAAATTTATTACCAATGTTGCAAAATAGCAATAATTGATGAAAAAAAAGGCAAAATAATCAAGTTTCAATATTCTTTATTGCTATAGCTCAATCATAATTTCATCGTCTAACAATACGTAATATACATAAATAACAATAATGTTAACGAAAATGTATGTAAATTAATATCTTCAATGTATTATTTTGTACCGAAACACATATTTTAGTTTATCTTCGTCCATTTTGTCATAAGCAGTTAAACGAATCTCGATAAAATCCAATCAAGCCGTCGGGAAATGTCTTCCCGGAAGTCCTAGAATCGTCGGCAGTTAATAGTTTCTAATGAAATAATTCCTGACATTTCGCCAATGGTACATACACTAAATACCATTAGAGACGAACACTCGGGACATGATTCCTTATTGAGTTACCTTTGATGCTCAACTGCAAGCTGTTCGTTTTGTTTTAAAAGGCAATTAAATTAATTAGCTTAATTAATTTATTGTTGGTGGAATGAGAGCTTTATGCACGAATGGTATTTCGCAGAGTGGGGCTAATTGGAAACACGTGAATTTAATTGAATAGCGTGGCAAGCGAGTTACTACTGCGATGACTCTTTTTTCTCGAATATCGAACGCCGGGCAAAATTAAACTGCGTTTTGGAAAAGAGATAAACGAAATTTGTATTTAAAAGTCGTCTTTGATGCCTTTTCTTCAAAACACCCTGTATTGGTCAAATACAGGTGCACAGTAAATAATAATAAATATTAATTCAAATATTTTTACTTATCTTTCGAATACACTTTGCAGCAGAATAATGTATTGTGGATAACAGCTCAAATTTGCATATGGCTAGAAGTTCTAATTGATTATGTTTAAAATCCTAAAATAAATTTTATTTAATAGGTCATAAGACAGTCAACCAGTTTTTAAAATTCATTTGAATAAATAACAATATATTTCAGTCAAGATTAAGTGAACAGCTATAGAATTACATACGTACAATATCCAAATCAAATACGTAATATGCAAATTAATTTAAAAATAATTGGAATGTCAACGACTTCGATACTCCAAGATTTTTTTTACAAATAATTTTATTCCATAAAAAATAGGTAAGTAATAGGATTTTGTTTACATTCTGGTTTTTACATTTAGATGGATATATTGTATAACAGATACCCATTTTGTTTGAGTTATTTATTTTTATATTTATACAAAGACTAACAGTTCATTTTAACAGTTTTGAAACTTCTAACAGATGGTCTTTTTTCACACCATAAATATTTATAATTTTTCTGATCACATAGATGTATAATGAATAGACACAGAAAAACACATGTAAATATGTGTCATACATAAAAAAAACAAAAATCTACCACATTACCCATTTTCTACATGATACATGATTGCCTGATAACAACAGAATTTCTTCTCTTGCCAATGAACACGAGACGACAGTCGTCATATTTCAATATCAATTTTTTTGTAAAAAATTTGACAGGTAAGATACTGAGAAGATTAAATAGTATAGTAAAAAAAATGCTCACACATCTACCTTGCAATTATAATTGAAGTCAAAATACAACATTCTCAGTTCATCTAAAAATCTCGTAGGTTCCTAGCCTACCGACCAAGTCTTTTTATCAGCGTTATTCAATTAAACAGATTATTAATAATTTCCAGGAACCATAGACCCAAAAAACAACAACCTGCCCAACAGTATAGAGTATTAAGTTTTATAAGGTGTGTCAGGCTTTATCTCCAACGAATTAATTGACTGTGTGACACAGGTTAAAATAAGGCAAGAAGAATATTGATGGGTGATGCCCGTAAAATATTTATATTATTCATAATTCTTGTCATTATAAATTATAACAGCAACTGCCGTATTATTAAACATTTATCATCTCGATACATTAACGGTTGCTTACAGGAATATTTCAATTCAATTCAATTCAAATTTATTCAACTTTTTTGCACAGAATCGGTAAATAAGGTAGGTAATATATTGTTTAAAAAAACAGTAAAATTGTAATGGCGTGATACATTGTAAACATTTTTCAAAAAGAGAACTGTAAAACTCGGTCAGTGGTGCTAACAACAAAGACAGATATACTTAGTGGTATTTTTTTATAAATAATTCACGCAAGAAGTAATTTTGATAGAAAACACAACTTTTTGATTAAATGTTGTAAATTTTTAATTGAATCATAAAGTAAATGGCTTCCATGGATTTCCTTGCACATACGCACTCTTGTCGAAAATTTCCATGACCGTTTTGTATAAATGCGACTGAATTTCATCGATACAGGACTCAATTTCCTGCTTCAAGGCGTGTGTGATCGTGGGCTTGTTGGCATAAACCTCATACTTCAAAAAAATTCCGAAGAAAAAAGTTCAACGACGTTAAATCGCATAATTTGGACTTTCAATTCTGATCACGAAAACGGGAAATTACACAACCAGCAGCAATTGAATTGTTTTTCAGGCTGTATGGCATGTGGCACCGTCTTGTTGAAACCACATGTCGACTACTACATTTTAGGCAATTTAGGCACAAAAAACTGTATTATCATGTCGCTATCGCAAGCACCATTATCCAAAATCAAACATTTAAAGGGGTGAAAAAGGAGAAAAAACTGATGCCACAAACTTGTATCAGAGGTTTAAGGTCATAGAGAAAAAAGTTAATTAAAAATGTGTTTAAAACTGTTTTGGAACTGCTGAAATACATGTATACAGTTGTACGAAATACGTAGCGGTGCCTTTCGGCAACAGTTTTCAGTGAACATGTGGGCCGGTATCGTTAATGACACTTTAATAGGACCTTTTGAATTGGATACGTCGCTCTGAAGCTTGTGTGCAAGCAAATGGTGGGTACATCGAGCATCTTCTATGAACGCAATTCTAAATGGTGGCTTCTTGCAACGTTAAGGTAAGTCGGATTTTAAAATTACATTTTACTCAACACAAATCCCTGTATTTACTTCATTTTCACATAACAGATATGTGGCAAAAATATTGGACATAAGTTCATTAACACCCTGCATAATTAGGCACCTTTTTGATGGTATGAAATGTCTACATTTATATACACATATTTTATTTAGATAATGATAATGTATAGAATTATGGGAGAGTGTAAAATAAAAGGTCATCATAGTAACTCAAAAATGCCAGAAAATTAATGATATAGCCAAGCAACACTTTACACTCCTAAACTTTACTTATTGCAACGGGCTTTAATTAGTATGTATAATTTATCTCATTAAAATTTTTAAGTGTGTACATAAATTATGTGCAATTAGATAATTAATAACTTTTTACTGATTTACTAGATAGATTAACACCAAATTCAAATAATTTCTTACAACTATATTCAGGAATATGTAAATAAAATAAAGATAATCACTGACGACTTAAAGATAATCTATTTTTTTTTAAATAAGAGTTTTGTTTGTTTGAAATTGGGACTATCAGGGAAATTAAGTGATGTTTTCTATTGATATGTAGTAACCATTTGTTTCATGCTAATCTTAAACAATGTGTATTTCTGAGAAACTTTTTTGTTAATTGTGTTCTATATTTTAGCTAATTAGTACAGTTTTTAAAAATGAAATGGAGCTCCCACAATTTATATGCTCAAAATGTTTTGTGAATTTTGCTAAATGTGGGATTAAGTTTCATTATAGTTATTATATCCAAGAAACCTGCTATCAAAACTATCTTTGTTATACTTTAGAAATTAAAGGAACACTTGATCTGTCTTAACTTTGTAATAATTGACTTCAGGACTTTTCTGATGCTTTTCATAATTTCATTCCATAAATAAATCTACTTGGTAAGATCGAAGGTGGATAAGTAATTCACAAATATTTATCAAGTGGAAGATAAAAATCTAAAATTATTTATTTTGCCTGTAAAATTACATAAAATTATAGCAAACTCGGTGTGTTCATCAGTTCAGAACATATTTTCTTAAAATATACATTCTGTGTTATCTTCAAGAGTTAATGTAAATTTCCCATAGTAAGTAACCTACATATTAATTGACTAAAACAACATTGTTTGTATGTAACATATATTCAATGACGTCAGAATGTCTGAAATCCCTGATCATTTCTGCATCAATCTTACTTTCTATCAGTAAATTAAAATGCCAGTACGACGAGATATAGTTTTATTAAAGTTATCCATTGTTTCTATCAATAATTAGGAAAAACAAAACATTTTGCTTCTAAAAATAATAAGGGAAGTCTAACTAACAATCAGTAATGGTACAATTACCATTGTATGGTCTTTTGAATGGTGCCTAATAACTTTTTAATGAAATCACGATTTATAGAATTTTTAAATTCTCCTTGAATTAACGCCCGTTACTCATGAATTAATTATATATCCATTGTTTCTAGTTTTATTATATGCACACAAACCACCTATATACTCTATAAAATTTCAATTGAATTAACATTAATGAAATATGTATTTTTTTCTCTAAACAAGAGGTTATTTTGCAGGTTATTATACATTACACTGAAATAACAGCTTGTGTCAATGTTTACTACTTGCCATTTGGTCCGGAGACTAACGGTTACTGCTAATATTTCGTTCGAAGTCAATTTGTTTGAAAAAACATGCAAGGTATACCCTAGCTGGAAAGAATCCGGGCAAAATAAATTACCGAAATTATTGTAATTGCTGCTCATATAGAAACTGATTAAGAACATTTTCACATCCTCTCCGAAGCCTTTCGTTTTAGTAATCACTAAATAGGAATCCGTTATAGTAATAATTAATTACAATAAGGTTTGTTGAACTTGTTTCAATCCATCGTGACCGATTATGGTTTGAAAAAATATATTTCAGGTCCGATATGCACCTTCGACAAGTTATTAAAATAAATGATTTTAAAAAAGGTTAATGAAGCACCCCGTAGTGACAGACGAGTCAGCATAGTATTGTGCAACAATTAATGAAAATAATTTTCATTGTCCACTTCCTGGTATGGATAACCTGTTGTCTGTGCCAACTGGTTTAATGTCACTGAGCGCTAAAGATGAATGGTTGTTACATTTATTCCTCTGGAGCTGTGTAAGTGATCGGAGTATATAGGCACTACCTACTGATTTGCATTAAAAATGACTCTTTTATAATTTATTTTTATTAACCAATTTTAACATTACTCCTTATCCTTAATGTATATCGAAAAAGTCTCATCTAAACAATTGGAGATTTTTGACAAGGTAGTAACTGAATTACCTACATCATCTACAATAGTTTCATCATGCAAAAATATTTTCAAAACTGTAAAAATGGTCCTCTTAAGTCATGATTTTTTCTTCATGTAATCCAAATACTGAAGATATTCGTAATACTATATAATCTTGATATCAAACAGATTTTTCTAAGTATCAACCTGAAGAAATAATAAGTGTATTACGTAAGTACCACGTGAAAATATTTGGAAAATCTGTAAAACCTTTCATCTACATTAGTCAGGTAGGACTGTCAGCTTTTTATTCTTAGATGGTAAAAGCTGATTGACGACACCTTTAGTCGATTTCTTTTAAAATTGGATTGACATAAAATTATTATTTAATACGAATAACCGTTATTAATAGCACACTGGGTCTAATAAGCTAAGCTACTATACCTAATGGTATCACATAAAATTTTTAGAAATGTTCGGCAGAATTCCAAACCACTTTAATACAATAAAAGTAAATTTATTCATATAGTTTTTCCACGATAATTAATCTTAAGGATAGAACCAGAAGTTGATACAGAATTAAACTTAAAAATTTTGATTTGCTGAAGTTATTTTACTAAACTTTGTGATTACAAGCAGAAGTTACTTGATTAATATGTTAATCAAAACCTGCAATAATTATTATAACAAAGTTAGAAAGACAGTAGCTCATATTGTTAGCGAAATAACAGTCTTCTTAAAAGAACACTTTTGCTAGCTTGCTGTCAAGCAGCTGTTTGCAGCGAGTGCACTTAAGGAAATGTCTTTCTTCAGTGTAAACTTAATTTAAATTAAAATAGCTATACATTGCTACTTCATAATTTATAATGTAGCATAGGGTACTGGCATATGGCATGGAGAATTTTTCTGGACATAGCTACAATATTGTCGTTATTAACATACTCAATTAGCTGTGCTATGTGATATTACTGCTAATACAAAAATATTTTCATAACATTGTCTTTATCCGGAACATTGATTCAGTGAGTTTGCTATTCTATCGAATGATTTAAACTACATGACTGAACTGATATTGATATTAGTTATCTGCGAGATTAGAGATTGCTTGGCATTCGATTGTGAGAATTTTTGGCACCACTTTCGCACAAACGAATGCCAAACTAGCATGTCTGCAGACTCGGTAAAGGCGGCAATCGAAAGAGGAAGCTGTCGGTCGTACGACTTTGGCGCATGCCTGGTATCTACATCAGGAGTAAAGTCCTTATTCATATTAATTTGAAATCTCACTGAATAAAAAAGTTTAAAACAATCCTTTGATGTACAAGCTCAATTTAATTTTAATGATAATGCCATAGATACAATTTTCTGAACAATACGTATGCATGTATGTCAAAACATCCTCAAAGTACTCTGTTTACTGTGAGAGAATGTAGATCAATTAAAAATCGTTACCACTGAACTAAGTATTTTCTAATTTGATGCAAATGACTTTCTCAGATTTTTCCTTAGGTAAGACTAATTGCGTGTTTGATGTAGTACGACAGGATTCAGTTAATTATTTGCTACCGTTTCAAATGATTTATCGCTTGATACAGAAAAATGTGGGTAATTATTAGATATCTAAAGGTGTATCAATTTGCTTCAAGTATCTCTAATGGTGTTATTAATTCTTTCGTTTGTAAAAACCACTGGTTTTAACAAATAAAAAATATTACTAATAACATTCCTCTAGTTGCTTTCAAAGACTGATCTTCCCAACATTTAGCCTCGTTAAGAATATTATGTGGGGCAGATATACTTCCCATGTCTGTACGATGCTGCTTTCTGCGTTTAAATGTGTATTTAATGGTAGGGTGTAGTTAAAAGGTGTTTATTTCAAGCACTTCTCGATTACGATGTTATTCATTATAACACGCACTATTATTACGTGATCATTATATGTTTACAAGGCAAAAAATAATGCATTTGTTCCCTAACTGTAATTGACAGCCGGTACAGTTCGTATTTTATCTTATTAATGATCCATTGTTATTTTAAATGGTTCTGGTTAAAGGGAATATAATGCCAAAAAGAACAGTAGATGCAGGTGCCTGAGTCTTTCCTACTTTATGTAAATGTTGTCACATCTCACGAAAAAACATGTTAAAAATACTAAGTTACAGATGTTCTAAATATATCTTTACATTTTCATAATAAATAAACTAAATATTTCATAAAAGGGTTGTTATGCTTAATGGTGTAACTTATCATCAGAGGGAAACAGATGCAGAAATATACCTACTGCTTATTTAGAATGTGTACTTGTAGATCTACTTTTGGGGTTACTATATGTGCTTCAAGCGGCTGAAAATGCAAATTCTACTCTACTCAAAAATCTACGTCTACATAGCCACTCACCCGGTTTCTTCAGTTTTGGCTGATTGGACTGAATCCGAGGCAACTTTCTTTTCAATGGGCTCGAGGTATAGGGCAGAATGTAATTGTGTCTATCAAAGTCAATACTCTGCGACTCTGCAAAAATTAATTCATGTTGACTTTTGCTCTTATCGTCACACTAACAAGCAGTTTAATAAGGAAGAAGCCAAGTTAGACACTAATCTACGGCAATACATGAAATACCACTTAAATTTGCATACATTGGTATAGGAGAGAAAAGTCAAAGGAACAATTTTGCATTTGGCAAGTATTTGATACATGCGTTTTCTATTATTGTTGTTATATAGCAGCGTTATAGCAGTTGTGTAGAAGTAGTGACTAATGTTTAGTGTTTGTAAGTGGAAATGATCACTCGAAAATTTAGGAAACTGTTGATGTCATGTAATACTCATAATTTTCTGATAACCATGTTTACGACTTGAAATATTTCTTCTGTTACATCTGAAGCTGAATAATTTCTGGGCGTCGTCGGGTTAGATTTTTCGAGAGACATCCCCTACTCTTCTGAAAAAAATCTGCGGCAGGAGATTAAGTCCTCTGATTGGTATTTATATTTTCTCCGTTCAATACTTCATGCTATGGGTTGTAGCAGCTGGTTCATGATGTTCTAGTCCTTGATTATTCCATTGATATCGTTTAGGATGTTCTGACTTTATATTTTCTATTCTCATATGCTCATATTTCTATTTTCAATATATATTTCTGAATCAATACTTTGCCTTTAGATTTGCTGACTCCATAGCTTTCTTATTGAAGAATTCCATGCAAATATTTGGTAGAGTTTGAGACAAAGATGAACTCTGCTGCTACTTCAGTTTGCTTATGTCTAAAGAAAAAGAATATCCATTTTGTGCATACTTTTGCCAAGTCTACTAAATTCCTCAAATTTGGTAAATTAAAATAATGTGTTCTTAAGGGCGCCATATTCTTTAAATAGTGTTTTCCACAGACAAATAATTTCAAACATTTAATAACTGAATAATATAAAGCTTATCAAATAATAGGAATGTTATGTCATGCCATTTGAGTATTTTCAAAGACGCCGCAGTAAAACGAATAAACAGGTGCACAAAACGATCAAACCATCAAGGTTTTAGGTACTGAAATCTACGAAAATACTAACTTTTTTATATACGACTCCACATGTAAATATTCTTATAACATTTACTTGCTTAGTCCTACATATAAAATTGTTTACTTATATTTATAAGTACGTGAAAATAATTCTTAAAATGTGGGGTTAGGATAACAGCAAATGCCTGTTTTATAAACGCTTTTTTTTTAGTTATTATTTTACTTGAGTAAATTTANTGATAACCATGTTTACGACTTGAAATATTTCTTCTGTTACATCTGAAGCTAAATAATTTCTGGGCGTCGTCGGGTTAAACTTTTCGAGAGACATCCTCTACTCTTCTGAAAAAAATCTGAAGCAGGAGATTATAAGTCTTCTGGTTGGTATTTATATTTTCTCCGTGTAAATAGTTCATGCTATGGGTTGTAGCAGCTGGTTCATGATGTTCTAGTCCTTGATTATTCCGTTGATATCGCCTTTAGAGTTGCTGACTCCTTAGCTTTCTTATTGAAGAATTCCATGCAAATATTTGGTGACATTTGGGACAAATATGAACTCTACTGCTCCTTCAGTTTTTTCATGTCTAAAGGAAAAGAATATCCATTTTGTCCATACGTTTGCCAAGTCTACTAAATTCTCAAATTTGGTAAATTAAAATAATGTGTTTTTAATTCAGATATTATCCAAATTATTTGGGACAAAAGTGTTTAGGTTTGTAAAATGGTTTCTAGTTTTTTGAAAACACAGCGGACTTTTATTAGACGATATAATTTCAGTTCAATTAATATATCAAACTCAGTTGACGTGAACAAAACATTAGCGAAAACGTAACAAAACTGACGATCAAATTCAATTTTTGCTACTACACTTAAATTGTTATACTATTTGAGTTACTACTTGCTGATTGCTACAATGCTGATAAATTGTTCCAAACTGCCAATAATAGAAAAATAAAATAATACCTACCCGAGAATAACCTTATATTTCGAATTAAACAGAAATACACTTAGTTAGACCACAGACTGCTGGAAGCAAAATATGACTATTTAAATCAACTTATAAACAAATTTCAATGCCTACTGAGATGCAGACTGTTTGTTTTGGATAGAGATATTTCTTATTTGTTACACATTTTTAGATGAAAGAAGATGACAGATTGGGTGTTATATTTTGGGAGCTCCACCTCATTAACTTGCCCATAATTTTATTACACATACGTCTACGGTTGTCTTATTTACGTTACGTAACGCAAAATTGATTTTAAATAAATGTTTTTTCTATCGTGAAATTTTGATATCCGCTTTTAATTTTGAATAAGCAAGATAAATGTTCAATATTAGATGTACCTACTGAAATGCAGGATTTTCCAAAATTTCGGTAAAAGCTAGAATTTTTTTACTAGAAGTTCATAAGAAATGTCGAAATTCCACGAAACGAAAAATTATTTAGAAAGCAACGTTGTACAAAAAATGTGAATTAGATAGGCATATAAAAAAGTTATGGGGGGGTCAAGCGGGTGGGCCCCATCAAAAAATAACACCCTAATTGTTATTTTTTAAGTATTCACCTAAATAAAAAAATACGAGTACCAAAGTCTCTGGCTAAAACCGTTTTAGAGTGATATTAATAAATTTTATTTGAAAATGTTTTGCATAAAGATAAGTTGATCTCAGCCATCCTGTTTTGATCCTAGAAGTCCGTGGCTGATGACCCAATATTTTTGAGACACCTCATACTCTATATTTCTAGATACTCTATAATACTTTTAGATTTCTATTTGATTCTTCGACAAGTAGGTATATAAATTAATACACTATTCATTTCTTTACTAATCTGTCATCCCTAACAATTGCTATTTCTATTAATATTGTGTTTCTTACTGATTTCAATAATTAATTGCAATGCAGTTCTCTGTCGCACTCTTGTGTCAGTTATTGTAATATATACATCTGTCACCACCAAGAATATACAGCTTTAGCATTGCCTTTTGTTGCGGCCGAAGAAGTTTTGATTTATCACTAATTAGATGCTTTCCGCTTACACTGTAATGATTAAAACATTGCTAGTATTAACGCAATGTTTTAATCATTGTACGGGTGTAATAAACTTTCCTTCGGGTGTGACTATTAATGTTTTCGACACGGGCTTAATATAAAATATACCCACGTATGCGAATCATTCATTTAATTATTCACAGCTAATTGCAATTAACACTAAAATTCCTGTTTAAGTATGCTATGTTTTAACATTTATTTGATTGACAAATTCAACAAAGATGTGTCTTTAATAGAAATATTTCATGCGTTATATTGTTAACATTGTATTCTCATCTACCCTCTCAAGTATTTTCTCTTCAACGTTAAGAACTGTTTCCTTTTTTATACTGTGATACATACACTTTACACATATATGCATATCAGTTAATCTGAGGTACGTGCTTCTAGTTGAAATTGATATATATTTTACAACAAAAGACTTTTGTACAGGTCTAGCAGAAGAAACTAGTATTTTTTTGTAAATAATAAATTGTTAATATTTATAAGAAAATTTCAGTCTTCCTTTCTACAACCTTTACTTACTGAACTATTTTGAATATCAGTCCCATCTTCGTTTGCTTATTTACTGTCATAATATGTCATGCGAAAAAAGTAAAGGTATTATGAAATTAATACAGAGAACGAACAGAAAAATAGGGTAAAATAGATCCGATTTTTATGAAAATTTAGAATTAAGTTTATTTCACCGTGTAGATAAGTTATATATATGCTTAATATACGCTCCTTATTTTTAGGGGATGAAAACCACCCCTTATACTAAAAAACTGAATAAATATAGGTAAAAATAGGTGTTATATAGAGACTAAAATAATATCTTTATTAGAATAAATATTGTTTTATATTGTAGGTTATAATTTACGTTATTTTTATAAAGTTTGAACACTAAATAATCACCCTTAATGATAAAAATATAAAATTAATAGTTTCTTTGACCTTAAAATTTTTTGCGAACACAATTAAAAGTAACACTGTTTCAGTCGTCGAAACGCGCATAAAAAAGTGACGCTAGCAGGTTACTTAATTGTTCCAAACGTTTTATTTAACGGTACCATTATCGGCATTTATTTTCAAGCGCAAGTTAAAGAAAGTAAAAGTAACATACACCGTGCTTCTACGCATAGTAATTCTTTGTCTAAATGTTATTGTTGTGGTGTCTATACTATCACATTTAAATGTGAGAACGTAGTGAACCAGAACCACTCCTAATATAAAAGCCAACTATAAAAAACTTTGGTTTATAAATTATAGAAATTGGCATAAATAATTACATTTTTTGCTTTAAAACTAATTTATATTAGTAAGATGATTGGCAATTAAAATATCCGGTTCATTAAATTCTTAGAAGAGCTGAACGAGGTCCGATTTTTTTTATAAATGTAAAACTATAAAATGAAATTTTTATTTGAATAGCTGATTGAAACATATGTTAGGCATTTAACAATGATAATGTATAACATACTTTCCATAATTTACATAAACGTAGAAAATTACGTTGCATGCCTTTATCTTGATAATATGAAAATGTAATGGTATCTACTTTTCCACACTGCAACTTGAACATACGTACAGTATTATGATATATGAGTGTGTAATAAGAAATGTGAAAAATATATGAGAATTTTACAAGTACAAAAACCATAATGAGCCTTTAGTCACAATAGCCGCACTGGGTGACTGGGCAATAAATCTCAGTTATTGACAAGTGGTTGACAAATTGCCTAACAGTGCAGTGCAACAATGCGGGATATAAAAAAGGTATACTTTGCTAGTATCTCTAAAGCCAACCGTTTTCAACAAAAAGGCATTTAAATTTGTAAACGCATAAAATTGTTCAACTATCGCGAATACCAATCAATTAAATTATTGGCAACAGTTTGTTTAATTGTTAATTGCCATTCATGATACTCCCGACAATACATTATGGGATTTAATTTTTTTCCAGT